AACAAAAAAAAAAAAAAAAAGATAAAAATTCGAGATAATGCATACGTAATGTTAGTTGGGCCATTCTACAATGCATTGCTATTTGAAAATAATGTGTTGTGCATGATAAATGTACACAATTTTTATTATCTAATTCATTAATTAGGGGTTGGAAAGGTTGGAGTGAGGAAGTAAAACTTGAAAACGTGACCACATCTGTCTAGTTGTCATCCTCTAGCTCGAGTTGCATGGCCAGATCCACCCTGAAATACCATAATGTGTCCCGATAAAGATTCAGACACCAACCCATTCCCACCACCATTTCAGACTCAGTCAGAAGCCAGAAAAGATTTCCTAGTGTCTTGATCCACTTCTCGTATCTTTGGCTCCGCCCAATGCTCCTCCCATAGATATGAAGGATACCGGTATCCCACTCACCTACACACAAAAAGAACCAAGAGGGATGTTCTTAGGGGATCAGTGGTGCTCAAAGTCTGAGTTGTTACAAAATTGCAGGTTAAACTATTTTATTATCTAATTCCTACTTCCAAGGGCCTTTTTTGGGGGGGAGGGAGGGGTCCGGGACTAGTTTCTCCCAATGGTATGGGTATTAACAATGATATGGATATTCATTTATTTAATAAATTTACATATTTATTATTAATTATTGCAACAGGGAATAGAAAATGGCTCCACTGTGCATTTGGTCCAGAAAGTGGAAGGGTTTTCCTATCAGAAATTTTAAGAGGCTATAATCATGCAACAAGTAATCATGCTTTCTCTTCGGAATCTTCTCTGGCTTCCTCAGCCCTCTGCCTATACCTGCCTGAAGAATTTCTCAAAGCTGAACCCAACTCAAATATAAGAAAATGTTAAGGCATACCAATTTACAGAATTTGATGAAACAACCGAAAATCCTACTGTGGGGTGCAGGGAACGGGAGAATCCACCTTCAATATGAACTAATATTCAGTTAATTCAATATTTTTTAAAACCACATCAAAATTGTAGCCTAGAAAATTGATCAAAAGTGTTATATCGAATAACTTACTGCATAAGTAACATATTTAGTGTAAATCCTGACTAAACTTCTGGAATAGTTTGCGTTGGATGGATTAGACACCCAAAAAACAAAGTAAAGCATTGATTTGCTTTTGACGGCCAAGTTTGTTCGTGGTTATCAGCTCTCTGGAAAGGCTCTGGGCGCTGCTGAAGCCAGAGCAGGTTACCTAGCGCGAACCAAAGATGGGGCATTAAGCACCAAGTCCTCCCAAGTTTTGGCTCAGGGTCCAGAGGTGCCGGTGCCTCCTACTGCAGTGGCGAAGGCTGGGCTCCCGCGCTCGCCCGGGGCTGCCGGGTGGTGCTGAACCGGGCGCCACGATGCAGAATCCGCCCACCCCGCGCGCTGTGCTCCACATATGTCAATAATACCCGGGGTGCCCCAATCCCAACCCTCCGGGGGCACCTGCTTACTCGCGTTCCCGACCAAGACAGCTGGAGGCCGTTCGGTCCCCTGAGAAACAGAGGCCCACCTGGATTTTGTGCACCTCTCCCTGCTCTTCCACCAGCAGCCCTAGAACCTCTCTCAGGAGTCCAGGGCAGGTCGTGGGGGAGGGGCACCGAACCACCCCAGGAACCCCCTCTCTCTTTCAACTCCAACTGAAGGTGCAAAATGCCGCCCTCAGATTCCCGGGGAAATCTGCCCACTTTGTAGAAGCACCCCATCAAAAAAGTGGGTGGCAAGGGACGGGCGCGGGCGCGCAGCGGACACTCGAACTCCCAGCATACACCCCAGACAAAAACCCGGTTTCACGCTGCTCCACCGCCCCCTCCTAATGCTCGGAGTCAGAGTTACTTCTTGCCCCACCCTTGGCACCCTCCCCGCAAGCTCCAGCCCATTACCTGAGTCCCAGCCTCGGCGGGGTCTCCGGGGCTCAGCACGCGGCGCAGTGCCCAGGGCGGCCGGGCTGGTGGTGAGGTGGGACCGCGGCCGCCGCTCTCCCCTGCAGCTCCCGGCCGGCAGGGCTGCTATTTATCCCGGCCAGCAGCGGCCCTGGCTCCTGCTGGAGTATTGGACAAACGGTCCCGCTACGCGCGGACCCGGGAGCCGCCGCCCTCTGCCCCCACCGACCCCGCGGCGGCGGCGGCCACATGGAGCGAGGGAGCCGGCCCCCTTCTCTGGGCTCCACCTTCTCTTTCTCCTCCTCCTCCTCCTCCTCCCCGGAGTTTTTCCTGTTGTCTTTTTCTCCCTTGTCTCTCTTTGCGGGGCACCCTGGCCAGTCTGAACCGGTTGTGACTGCGCGGGTGGCTGGGGGAAGGAGGAGGAGGAGGGGGCGGAGGAGATGCAGGCGGAAAAGCGGGCGGTAGGGGCACTGCGCCTGCTCCCGCGGCTCCCGGCCCGGCCAAGAGTAGGGAGGGCACTGCCCGAGCCGCGGCCCCGGCCCTACCCTGCCTGGAGCCACCAAGGCCACGAGAGAGGTGGGCACCGCCGGCCAGGCGCCCTCTCGGTGCGCACGCACGCGCGTCCCCAGGCGCCGCTGTGCCCCTGCCGCCCACCGCGTGCCCGGGCGGAGCCTGCCAAGGACCGCGAGCTTTTGCGGGGAGCCGGGGTCTAGAAATGAACGCAAGTAGTACTTGGTCTCCCAGGCTCCCGGGGCTGCCGGCGCCCTCCTGGCCGGGGCTGTATACCCACCTGGCAGTGATCCCGGAGAAACAGGCACCAGAACTTTGTGGAGTCGGTGCTCCTGGGAAGTGAGGAGTGAGGATGCCAAGTGCTGTATTTTGTGACAGCTCGGCTGAAAAGGAGGGCGTCCCGCGGTGCACACACACACACACACACACACACACACACAGGCTGCTTCTAAGGACGTTCAGTCTGTCCCGCAGGTGAACTGCTCCAACAATACTACCATTGGCATTACTATCTTTGGCTGAAAGGTAATGGGCTTGGGGGCGGAGATGTATGTCTGTTTTAACCCTCAGTCACTGCAGCAGCTGGTGGCTGTCCATAGGCACTAGTGGTTCGCCAACCGTGGGAACCCTCCAAAGCGATACGCATTTTTTGCGTTCCTGTGTGTATGCATTTTTCTGGGAAGCCACACCATACTTTCTACTGGCTTCTCAAAGGGGACGGGGGCCACCCACCGCCTTGATGAGAACTCCCTTTATACACTGATAGTCACTGGTCCTGGCCTAGGCAAAGATTCTACACCTGGCAAAGGGTTGGTTTCAGAAGTGGGGATCAAGCCGCTGCGCCTCCGTTTCCTTGTCTATGAAATTTCCAAGAATCCTGCCTGTATCATGGAGTCTGTGTGGATGAGAGCTTAAAAACCTGTGGAGCCTAGGCAGCCATGTCACGTTTTCTTACAGCACAAACGTGGCGGAGGTTCCGCCATTTTGGCCTTCATCATTCCTTTCTATTCAATTTACTGACTTTCAGTTTACAGGGAAGAGAATGACCAGTGCGAGTCAATAGTATTTTGTTCTAAGAGGAGAAGAGAGAAAGGGGGGAAAGTAACAGTGAGAATGAGAGCAAGGTGGGCCCAAGAATAAGTTCTGGAAGGAAAAATGGAGAAACTATATCGTCAACACCATAAAAAACTTACTTCTGAAGAGGAGAGGGGACACAGTAGGGGATTCTTAGGCTGTATTTTCTACCTGGTTTATGGTTACTCAAGGGCATTCTTTACATGGATAATTTGTGTTGTTTTCTCTATATATTGACCTATACACTGATAATTTGTATTCTTTTCTCTATGTTTCAATAAAAATTTTGTGTGTGTGTGTGTGTTTTTTGACACAAAGTCTTGTTCTGTTACCCAGGTTGGAGTGCAGTGACATGATCTCGGCTCACTGCAACCTCCACCACGCGGATTCAAGCGATTCTCTTGCCTCAGCCTCCTGAGTAGCTGGGATTACAGGCATGCTAATTTTTATATTTTTAGTGGAGACAGGTTTTCACCATGTTGGCCTGGTTTTGAACTCCTGACCTCAAGTGATACACTGCCTTGGACTTCCAAAGTGCTGAGATTACAGGCATGAGCCACTGTACCCGGCCAATAAAAGATATTTTTAGCAAGTCTGTCTTTGATTCAAGTAATTCCTAAGCACCAGAGCACATGTCATCTTGATTGTTGCTCAAACCAGTCAATGTATGTGAACTTCTGTTTGGGGGACAAGGAAACCATGCCTGGAAAATATACTACATCAGCCAACTGGTTTCTGAAATTGACATATCCCTGTTACCACTTACATCAAGTTTTCCTAGATTTATTTTGGAAGAGTATATGGCCAGCACTTCCATTTCTACTCAGGCCAGCCCTCGCCTATCGACTAAGAACCAAAAATGAGCTGAAGCTCACACACGGGGTTGCTCCCAGCTTTAGATGGCTGCAGGGCCAAGCTTCTAATGCAATGAATGAAGTGGCTAGAAGGGAACTTGGAGGGCTCAGAGAGCTGGAATCTGGCCGTGAGGCAGTGGACACTTAGCTCAGGGGACTGTTGCCAGGCTGGAATGTGAAAATTGCCCCTATCATCTTGTGAAGGTTCATTGTTCAGTCACACTGCAAGGATTGAGACATGTAAGAGAGAACTCAGAGATGTAGTCAAGCCCTGGCACTTTACTTGCAAAAGGAATTTTACTGGGAGAAGCTCAAGATGTGTTCCAGATCACTCTAGCGGTGGAGGAGGCAGGTAAGTCAGCAGAGATGAGATTAAAACCATCTCTCTATGCCCCCAAGTTTTTACCTCCAGCAACAAAAAAGATGCAAAATTTGCTGCCTTTTGGAAGAAAAGGAACCTGAGAAATGCTTTTAAAGAAAAGTTGAGGTCGGGCGTGGTGGCTCACACCTGTAATCCAAGCACTTTGGAGGCCAAGGCGGGCAGATCACCTGAGGTCGGGAGTTCAAGACCAGCCTGACCAACAATGATGAAACCCTGTCTTTATTTTAAAAAATAATAAAAAGAAAAATTAAAATAAAATTAAATTAAAAAGTTGATGCAGAGGTGTCAACTAAAGGAAGCCATTCTTTGCTTTATATTGTTATTAGGAAGCACTTGTAAAGAGCTTCATAATTTGTGAAATGGTCTAAGGTCTCCTTTTCTTAAACTATTTGCCACCTTAGTCCTTCAGAGAATGAGATGGATGGAGAAATTAACCTAAAGTTCTTTGGTCCTTATCCCAGCAAGGAAGCAGAAACACAAAACGCAGAGGGCAGAGCAAGGTGTCATAAGGTCAGGGGAAGGTGGTGCACTTGACCAACACTCGATTCACTGGTCCAGTGCTTGCCTGGCTGACCAGACTTTCCTCTCTGACTTATCACACCATGCAGGTTTCTTATCTTTTCACATGATGTTCTTCTCCTGTTATGAGTGACAGCATAGCTACAAAGACCAACTACGACTACACTTTGTAATAAAAACAATGAAAGAAAACTGACTTTGTGGCTTTTATAGCAGTTGGCTTGGAGATCTATCCGTAAATCATTCTATTAATTCCAATTTATTCTCTCACACTCTAAATGATAAATGGTCAGAAAATAATTAAAGTGGATAAATCATTCTCTCTTATGCTTATAGAGCTTTTGTTTAAAAGGACAATTTTTTCAAATGTTTAAAGTGACCTTAAAGATATACTATATTGTATTTTTGTTTGCAGTTCTCCAGAATACCATTTCATATTTTCCTGGCTTTATCTTTTATCATACTACTTGACTGAAGTTTTTTTTTTGGTTTTTTTTTTTGAGGGGGGTGGAAATGGGGAAGATAAGTAAATGGTGTTGTTTCATTTAGTTTTTTAGAGACGTGGTCTTACTTCTCAACAAGACGAGTGCAGTGGCATGATCACGGTTCACTTCATCCTCGAACCCCTAGGCTCAAGGGATCCTTCACCTTAGCCACCTAAGTAGCTAGGCTACAGGTATGCACCACAACATCCAGCTAATTAAAAAAGTTTTTTGTAGGGACTGAGTCTTGCCATCTAGCCCAGGTGTTCGAGATCAGGCTGATCTCAAACAGCTGGGCTCAAGTGATCCTACCTTCTTGGCCTCCCAAAGTGTTGGGATATAGCCATGAGCCACCATGCCCAGACTGGTTAAGTATTGGTATCTTCATTTTACAGATGATGACACTGGGGTTCAGAGAGGCTAAGTTACTTGCTGAGTCACTCAGTGGGTCAGTGATGGAGTGGGATTTTGAGACTGGCCTGGCTGATTGTTAAGCCTGTGCTCTTCCCAACCTACTTTAGAAAAATGATTCAAGGCTGGGGAGAGCTAACAATGAGAACTGACTTCTTACACTAATTTAAAGCTTCACAAGAAACCTAAGAAGGTTCTACTATTCTCACCTGCCTTTTGCCAATAATGAACAAGAACTAGAGAGAAGCTAAATAATTTGCCCTCAATCACATAACGAGAGGTGAAGCTAAGGTTTGAACCTCTGTTGGGAACCAGCCCAACCCCGCACGTGGGCACCCTTAGTCCCGGTGGTGACGAGGGATTGAGAAAGGGAAATAAAGACAGAGACACAAGAGTAGAGTTTACAGCATGGGTCCAGGGGACCAACACCGGTGTGGGAACCGTGTTGGCCCCGAGCTCCGGGCTCCAAACACTTTTATTATGTGCATAATCTCATCGATCTTATGGGTGTGGAGGGAAGGGTGGAGGGGTAGGTAAAATGGGTGGGAAGCACTTGAGATCCTTCTAAGACAAGCTAAACTTGTGCGCTGAGCATTTAACAGCATTTGAGATCCTTCTAAGACATGCTAAACTAGTACTCTGAGTTTATCACTGATTGTTATCAGGGTGCCAATGTATCAGAAGTATAGCGGATGAGGAGCCACCTGGTCTGACCACACCCAATGCATCAAGGGGCTTTTATCTCCTGAGCATTGAGGGCATAGAGCAATTAAAATTACTCCATATTCCAAGAACCTAGGCAGAGCCTGAGGCATTCTGTGATCTCTGCCTTGTAAGGCTTTTCTCCTCCTTGCCAGCTCCCATCTGCAAAGACCCTCCCTGATCTTGTGAGCAGAGGTCGCCTCCCTTCTCAGAGATCTTTGCACAAGCCCTCTTTATGAGACCTTCATGTAGTTTCCATGTTGAGAAGGCATTTGCGGGACCAGGGCAGTACTGCCTGTTCTGCAACCACCCCGGTGTTCCCTGGTGTTACTGCGCTCTCGAATGGTCTTTACCTTAGGCCTCCTGTTGCCACTTGACTTCTAATTAACTGCACCAATAATATAGTTTAGTTCGGTGTATAAACTTCAGTGTACTCTGAGCCAAGTAAGCTTATAATTATTTAGCTAGAACTAACATAGGTCTCTCCCTGGCCATCTTGACCCACAAACCTCAGTGACCCTGCTCTGAACCGTCACTCTAAATTCTCGTGAAAATGGAAATCAGAAACAAAATTATACAGAATGTACATATCCTCATGTATAAGAAAAATTAAGGCCTAATGAGGTTAGAGGGCACCAAAGTGACTGAGACAGGCAGACACAGTAGATGTGAGT